AAATTATATTTAATTATAAAATAATAACCATTAAATAAAAAAGAGTCCAAATATTGGGTAATATATCTCTCATTTAACTATTTATATTTTTATATTTTGGAGATCATTTTTCAAATATATAAGGAAAATGCTATTGGTCAATCATTTTATTTTATATAATTTGACGTGTTATTAAAATAATTAATTTTTTAAATTTATATAAATCATGTAATATTGAATACATGCACTTATGACGTGTGAAAATTATATAAAAAATTAAAATAAAAAAATTATTCATATAATATCACCCAATAAATGATGATGGAGTAAAGGTGTAAATAAAGATTTCAACTTTGCACTTTCTTGTATTTAAGGATGCTAACTTTATCAGTTTCTAAATAAAAATGTCAACTTTCAAATTTTTTTTTAAATAAGAATGTTAACTTTCAATTTTTTTCTAAATAAGGATGTCAACTTTACGCTTTTTCTATTTAAAGATTAATTGAATAGTAATGCTGAGGTGCCTAACATATTTTTTTAGGTTAAATATTTGAATTGGTCCTTCAACTTTTATTTTTGAACCAATTCATCCTTAAACTTCAGAAAGTACCAAAAACGTCCTTCAACTTTAATTTTCAATTTCGTCTTTCCGTCAGTTAAATGTTGATGTAGCTTATTTTTTTGCTAAGTGATTGACTATTTTAAATTTTCAATATTAAGTGGAAAATCCATCATGTAAAAGATGATTATGTGGATTTTTTAAATTTTAAAAAATTTACAAACTACTTTAATTTTTAATTTTACGTTAGTTATATTTAAAAATTAAAACAATTAATATATTTTCCCATTTAATTAGTCCCACCTACCATTTAATAAAATTAAATAAAATTTAATTAATTCTTCCATGAATTAGGAAATAATTTTATTAATTAAATATTGAAGTTGAAGGACGTTTTTAGTACTTTCTGAAGTTTAAGGATGAATTGATTCAAAAATAAAAATTGAGGTATTAATTTAGATATTTAACTTAAAAAATATGTTAACCAGGTCACTATCACTGTTCAATTAATTTAGAAAAAATTGAAAATGGATGTTTTTAAATAGAAAATGTTGAAAGTTGATATTTTTATTTAAAAACTAATAAAGTTAACATCTTTATTTAAAAAAAATTAAAAATTAAT